ATCGGCGTATCTCAGTCAAAATTTATTCTTTAAGTCTAAAAATTTGGCTACATACCTAAAAAAATTTGCTCTACAAAATGAGATAACCTTCATCCAAATCTGAGACTATGACTGAGCAGCCATATGTGTGAGTCCGGTGTATTTCTCGTGCAGCGACTCCTATGTGAGATTTGGGTCCTCTCAAAATCCAAAACACCAATCATCTTGAATCCGCTTTTGTTTCTCTTATTTCACTATACTCTTTGTCCGTCAGAGTCCGTAATATTTATTTCACACTTATTTTCGAGTTAATACGTTTTTGTGAATGTTAAAAAACATGTCTGGTTCGACAAATTATTATTCCGTCCTTGATCGTATTGATAAAGAATTAGCTGATAAGAACGTCGATGTTAAAAATATTTTACATGATGTTTATGAAAGTCAAATAACATTTCTTATTGAACAAAAACAACATGATAAATCAAAAAGATTAGCTGATTTATTCAATCAATTAATTGACTTGTTAATTGATAGTTTATATTCAACATCAAGTTCAGTTGATGATACTCAAATCGACAGTATATTGAACAAAATTAAAAGTGATATCAACACATGGCGAGAAAAATGGTCAACTTCTGTAGTGGATGTGAATCAATTTGAAAAAGCTTTCGATGAGCTTGTACGAGCTATTGAAGATGGTTTTTGCATGATGTCAAGAATGTTTAAACATGTCACAGTAAGTTTTTTTCGACTTTTGAAATCAACATCTTATTTTTCTTTGTTCAATTTTACTTTAGGCAAAAATCCAAAAAGTTGAAAAAAATAATAAAGATTTAAAAAATCAAGTAGAAAATTTAATATTAATGGAACAGAAACGAACTCAAAAAGAAAAATTATTTGAAAAAAAAAATCCTAATTCGTGATTTATTAATTCTCGGTCGTGACCGACTCGTCGAGGAATATAATCATCGTGAATTATCCAGAGATAAATTTGGAATTTATTATGATAAAAAAATTGATATTAAAAAATTGCAAAATAAACATCGACATATGTATGATGTTCTTAATGATGTAGCTAAAGAATTTACGGTTGATTCAGATAAATTTTTGATGTTACTTCGTGAAAAACGTCATGCAGATGGGTCAGTTCACATCTATCGTGATATTCAAGAATATGCTCTAGCCCACAAAATGAAACAAGATTTTAATCTTAATCAATTTCTTAAACAACAAGGAAGGTACGAAATCGATGATGAAGATTGCTTGATTTTGCAACAAACTTTTTCAACCATATGTAAAATGATAAATAAAAAAGACGAACAAAACAAAATGAAATCTCAATGATGCATTAGGTTTGCAAAAAAAAGACATTTAGTTTTTTAATGCAAAAAAAAATAAAAAAGAATTTGAAAGAGTTTTTTTTATTCCGCATTCAAGAAACATCTTTTATTTTAGATTGAGAATATGTGAACAAATTATGATAATCTTAATTAATCTGATCGTTAAACAACTGTTTTATCCGAGCAGAACATGAGCGAAGAAATCATGCAAAATTACTATTGAAATAATTGTTTTAATAACAACTAGCAAGTAAGTTAGAAGAAAAGAAAGATTTTATAAAGAAAATCTTGTTATAAGTCTTGTGGTAACAGGTGATTGTGATGGTGTAATACATTTTTTCGATCAAGAACTTAAATTACATATGTGGTTTGAACATTTTCGTATTGGACCAATTCAATTAATACCATTTACATATACAAGATCAGATTGTTCTCCTCCATCTTATTCATCAAATATAACATATAAATAAAATGGATCAACATTAGATTAATCACCATTTTCTACACTTGACTTTACTTTACCATCATTAAATGCTGTTATTGCTCATGTAACTCATTCCGGTCAACAAATATCAATTATAAAACGTGATTCTTCAACAGCTATTTATGCATTAGATACTCATCCATTTCAACATAAATTATGTTTTACTAATGCATCTGGTCGTTCACAATTATGGGATTATCAAGAAAAAGTTATTATAACAAGTCTTCAATGTACACATGATAAAGCTGTTACACAATTGCGTTATAATCATAATGGAAATTTTATTGCTATTGGTTATACCAATGGACAAATGACATTATGTGATGCACTTTCATTAGAAAGTATTGTTAATGTGCCATTTCTTTATGGTAAAACAGCTAATCTTTTTATTCAATTTTCACCGAAATCAATTTATTTAGCTATATCAGTAAGAACAAAATCATCTAATTTGATATAATCATAAATAATTTTTTTTTATTCTAGGAAGATAATTATACAGTATCTGTTTATCGACAAAATTTAAGTAATGATGATTTATATACATTTGTTGGTCGTTATCGTGCACATTATAAACTTATTCGAGCTTTATTTTTTTGATTTAACACATGATGATAATCAACCAATATTAACTACAATTGGTAAACAAAAAAAAACTGAAATTTCTCTTTTTTTATAAAAATTGTTCTTTTTAGGCGCTGATCGTATATTAGCTGAATATGATTTAAATGAAAGTGAAATAGATCATCTTGTTTTAAAACCATCAACATTTCTTCGCGTAATCGTTCAGCATAAACAAACCATTTAGCTCAAAACCACTACACCACAGACATAAAAAATTCATTCTGATGTACCACCAAACATTACAATTCGATTCAGGCTGCTATTCCGCTTCCACTTTCCTATAAATGACGTATTTTTCCATACATCAATGAAATTACTTCAAATTCTATTAACTCACTTCTCATCCATATATATCTAATGCACACAACTAAACCAGCCACCCGAACAATCATAGCAACTAAGTGAAAACTTCTGTTCCAAACACATTCATACATGATAACTCTTGCGAAATTAGTTAAATTTTATCTCGACATAAGATTATCGTTGAGAGTCTAAGACTTAAAAACTTCAGCTCTCATATTCTTCTACTGCTACGAGATGTAATTTAGATTTACTATGAAAACGTCGAAAGAAAAAATGTCTCAAAAAATGTCTCAAAAAATAAATGCCGAAGGAAAAAACGTCGAAGGAAAAAATATCGAATCAATGAAAATGTTGTTAAATGAAAAATATAAAATATTTATTTTATTTCATTCAAAAAAAAAGAACAATACGTTCATTGATAACGACAAATAGCTATAAAAAATGAATCATTCGATAGGTCCAGATAGGGATGTGCAGTTTCACTTTACTGATAACTGAAATCACCGAGATACTG